CCATCACTCAGCTGCCTCACGTCCGTCTTTCTGGACTTTGTTTCCTGCAAGGCGATTACGTGGTAATTGATGCGCCCTGCAGTTTCGAGAAGGGCGTGAAAACGGCGTTGGTGGAGACTTTCCTGGCGTTTTAGGTGCAGAGCATGAGACATTCTCCATGGCGAGTCGTTGACGTGTCTTTTGGTCCTAAATCCATGGCGTCCTGTGCAACCTGACACTGGTCTTCATGACATCCGACGCCGTAGATGTGATTCAAATGTGCAGGGTTTTTTTTTTCTCTCACATGCTGTACAGGCAAGAAAAAGGATATCTCCTCAAACACTTCTACGTCGGATGTCTTGATGACATCCGACGTCGTAGATGTGATCCAGTGTGCACGGCTTCTTTGTCTCTAAAATGCTGTACAAGCAGTAAGAGACTTCTTCCCAAACATTAGCAGTGCCCAGGGCCCTGCCAAGCTTTGACCACAGGCAATCGCTGATCTTATGTGGATCAGAGAGCCACCTTACGACTGAATTAGCCTGACGGTGGTGCTTCTCGCATGACCTCCCCTTAGCTGGGCATCAACCGAAAACGTTGAATTCCTTCTCAGCTTGGGAAACCCTGCTAGAGGATAAACCTCCGCTGTATCGCAGTTCGAAACCCAGAGTTATTCCCGCGCCACGATGAGGCGGTAGACCATCACAGGGCTCCTCATTTGTACGTTTAATTTTGAACAATGTGAAATTATATTGAGAGTGTAATGTATTGTAATGTTTCGTTACTATGAGGGTTGTAAGAAAGAGGAAGGTTGGACAAAGGAGAAGGGATGTCGAAAGAGGAGGTCTTGAGCATTTCGTTTGACTGGTTTCTGTTTCAATGCGGGCATTTGCGCGGAAAATTCAAGCGAATTTCAAAATATCCATATTAACCCGTTTTTCTGAGAGAATAGGCGATGAACATCCACCAAACTTGGCGTAATCAACAAAAAATAGAAGTTTTTGAAAAGTCTCTGAAAAATTACAAGGAAAAAACCGTTGTACTTTTTTGTGATTTAAGTCTCCGGCGGAGACTTGCGCGTGACCTCGAGTCTCCGATCACAAACACTTATGCATAATTTTGCTTTCCTTACAGCTAACACTTCTTGAGCACTCTTTGATCCAACTTGTAGCGCAACCAGATCAAGCTTCTTCTCTTCCTTACTATGCCCCTAAATCGTTCGATGAAGAAAACGCGCTTTAAGTAAACAAACCATGGTGCTTATCCTGCTTGCACAAATTGTACAGGTGACAAGGGGAATTTCGTAATCTCCTGGCTTTTTAAGTGGATATTTGTTTAAATAAGGTTTTATCGGAGACTTCAGGCCGAAGCCTCTTTGTGCCTCATTCAAACAAAAAAATGCTTGAAAATCTAGAGTTCTGGCGGTAACTCTTTATATATCACTTGAAAGAGGAGTCTCTCTTTACAAAGTGATTTGCTTGTCTTACAAAACAAAAAAAAAGGACTGACAATTTGATTTCTTTGGGATGCGAGTTGTATTCCTACGATGCCACCTCGGCATACGTAGATACGATAGAGGATTACATGCATTCTCCACTATATGGTTTTACTTGATCTAAACTATAGAAAGGTAAAATCGCTGTTATGCATTAAAAGTGGTTTATAGAGGCGGGTAAGTTCAGAATAGTTCTACAATGGAGAGGTATTATCTTTGGTTGAAAAGGAAAGTTCTCAAATCTACTGTGCAAAATTGCTCTGCCACAGGGAATGACCGTATTTCGTAATCAGCTTTTCAATAAACCGCAAAATACCATTCTTCAAACAAATAAGTGATTCTGACCTTTGCAGCGTGTGTCTACGGTGATTCTCCCGCAAAGTCTGTCGAAGTTGATTAATGTTTTGTATTCAGCATATCCAATTGCTTTACTAGACACAATTATGGCAAAATTGAGCTGTTTTTGAGACTTCAGGCAGAGTCCTTCTGATTGCGCGAGACAATCATCGGCTAAACCACGCACAACATCTCCCAGAAAGATAATTCTTCTTCCATATGATGAGCAACACTTTGCGAAAACTCTGATTTTCAAAATTCGCGTTTGAAAGAACAACATGATCTATCAATTCAAAACTTTGTTCTTCATAAGAATACCTCCCTCTTTTATGCTCAGGTCGAGTGATATTTTCGAGTTTCTATTAAACTGTCGCTTTGCTTTACACAGAAACATATGTAACGTGAACGATGAACAAATGCTATTATAATTTTGTAAAGATCACTTTTTCAAAGGAGAAAATGCCACAAATCAGCATATCTCCTAAATCATTAAGCTAAGTAATAACTAATTACTGAAACTGCATTTAGGTAGCGATATATATAAACATACTGATGAGAAGAAAGGAAAGGAACAATTATATCAGGTGCCAGCCATGTTTTTCGCAGCAGGCCCTGGATACATTGGTGGATTCGAATTTAAACGCGACGACTACGTTAACCTAACGGAGCGAGGTGGGAAAAGTATGAAACATGTCCGGCCCTTCGTTTAAGCCGAATTTTAGCGCAGCTGCACTACAAACAGCCTACCGCTATCCCCTATTTCGTAGGTTCACACGGCGGAGAAGATGTACCTCTTTGGGCAGATGGACCCTTGTCACAGTCAGTGATCAGAATTTTTATGTCGCAATACTATCATTTCTCTATTGAGACTATTCTCCTCCACTCTGGAAAACACTGAAATTGCTTATATCATTAAATTCGTATTATGCGTGAAGAACACAGATTACACCTTTTGTGATGTTTCTAAGAAAAAAGCCACTACATTGCAAGGTTTGCCTTAAAGCTTGCGACATTATTTCGGTAACCCGGTCTATCAAAATTTCAAAATGCTAAACATCGCTGAGACTTTGCGGATAATCTAGCATGATCAGGAGTATCATATCGATTTTGCATGGTGCGTGTGAGGGTACGATATGTAGATTTTTGAATACCCATCCTCAACGAAGGGAGACGGAATGGGAAAATTTGGACGCTTTTCAGATGAAGGTGCACGATTAGGACTTGACTGATCTTCGAAGTCAACTATTTATTATCATTCTTGAGAGGTGAAGCAAGAGACAGTTACAAGGTTTTGTGTCACCTCAAACAACTGCAAGCGATAGCGCACTCATATAAACGCTATTTCGATAAGGAATCATTTAAGAGCTGAACAAAGACTTGAATAACAGTTTAGCTAAGGGACTCAGTTCAGTTGAACAAAGGCGACTCTTGGAAAACTAGTAGGGATAGCCTCACAACTACGAGATGATAACGAACATTTGGATAACCGTTTTACAATCCAAATTCTGCAGAAATTCCACGGACGTATACTAAAGGCAACTATGGAAATGAACCTAAGTTATAGACACACAGACAGCAGCTGGACTTAGATGGCTTCAAGCGGAGGATAAAGTTCTCATACAAGAGGAGAATCGAGAGATTATTAGACACGGAAACAAAGGAAATGACTAAGAGGGATCCAAAAGGTGGAAAAAACTATTGCGAGTGTTGCGGACAAAAGGGTCACAAATGGTTTACTTGCATGAAGAATTCAACTAAGAACGGCATCCGGCACAAAAAATGCCGCAAATGTTAGCAGAAGCAACACACAGGCAATTTACTCAAAAAATTCAATATTGAGGAACTCTTGAGTCTGAGAAGGACGCTTTTGTACTACACATGAATAAACGGCAAAAGAAAGCAATCGTTTACGTAGTAAAGCGATTCTTTTGGCCGGATTCGCGGAATTAATTGATTCGGAAAGAAAGCTGCATGGAGTCATAGTTTTGTTAGAGACAGAAGATTTTTCACCATAAATGACCTCCTGGCTAGCGAGGACTACCTACTATACTACTTTTGGATCTCCCACATCCTGCGCGTGTGAGCGACATTTCAAACTTCACGACATAAAGGAGTAGAACATCAAATGTGCACATAATGACTCCATTGCTGAATGTCTAGAACAAGCAAGCTTCGACGAAGGAGATTTGATTTCTACTCAAAAAATACCAATTTCGCTACGAACCTCTTCAACCACAAATATTGCTTCGATGTGGTTATGTATGGAACTTCATATTAATAATGATTCGTCTGATCTCGCCTTCAACTTCTGCTTATTCCCACCAAGTCTAGTTACATAGTGGATGTAAAACTCAGAAAATAACCGGACCACCAGCAGTGCTCACCATTCAAAGCTCACTGACTTTCCAGGAGGATGTAGGAGCTTTATTGGACTACTGAAACATGAAAAGGATCTTCGCAGACAGAGTTAATAATGCTCAATGAACAATCGAAACTTCAGAAAACACTATTCAACAACAATAAGAAAAATATTGCGTACGACTCCTATGAAAGAGTGATCAATCTCTTTTACCGGACAATAAGGCCATAGCACCATAAAGACTGCGCAAATCACTCGAAATGTATTTCAACGATCCTGACACACTGAAGAATATGATTAAATATTCTAGGAAAAATTAGCAAAGGATATCAGCGAAGAAGTGCCACAGGAGAAAACAACAACAATGACATCGTACACTAAGTTCCACATCAAGCGGTATTTACCCCCCAAGGAACAAAATTACGAATCGTCTTCGACACCCTCATTACAAAAAACACCTTGAACGATGTTTTACAAATATTACGTCCGTAAGCGTCCTGATGCGCTTCCACCTTCTCAAAATCGCAGTAATCTTGGATGTGAAGAAGGCCTTTCTACGAGGTTACAGGAAACACATAGGGACGCAACTAGATGCATTTGGGTTCGTATGCTCGCTAATTCCAGAAAACATAGTGGTTTAAAGATTCATTAGAATGGCTTCGGTTGAATTCTTCCTTCGGGACGGCCATCAATTTTTACCTT